CGCCATTCACCCGGGGTGGGTTGAGCCAGCTCCAATATTGGAGTTTCATGGGAATTTGGAATTCACAAGCGGTCCCCAACCCGCATGTATAGCACATGAGATTTGATTATAATGATAAAGGTTTCGTGCAGGACCATCCACACTTTTTGAAGGGCCGATTACAGAGACCTGGTGAACTATGTGCCACAAGGTCCCCAAACGACCCTCCGCAGGTTTTGAATTCAGAGATTTTCCTTCTCCTAGACCAGTTGCCATCCAGTTGAGGTTGATATGCCGTAAAACAAAGCAAAACAAACCAATATAGAAAGAAAGAAAGAAAGAAAGAAAGAAAGAAAGAAAGAAAGAAAATATAACCAGCAATAAAAATCTTGTCGGCATTAAATAACGCACTGAGGTTGATATGCCGTAGAACAAAACAAACCAAACCAATATATACTGAGTTCGATCGATCGATAGATAGATAGAAAATATAACAGCAATAAAAATCTTGTCGACATTAAATAACTCATTATGGTTGATATGCCGTAAGTAATACAAACCTTGGTAAAAGAAACCTTGAAGCCTTTCTATGCCCAATTACATTTTCCAGCAGATTTCTGAAATAAGTTGAAATATACGAGACAACTTTTATACGTTTTCGACCACTTTCCATTAAACCAAGTTAGATACATCATTTTAAATTAGAGAAATAAAACTACATCTGCAGTTCAATTTTATTACATTTATATTAATTCCAAGCAGTTAATGTAAATTTTTAATTACATTAGACATTGTTCAGGTGGAATAATTACCTCAATCCTCACCAATGAGATGCAAACCCGTTTGTCGACATAATTATGAACAATTGCATTCGTATTTATGTTCCTTGAATGGAAATAATATTTCCGCTGTTAGGAGCGTTAAGTCCAGGGTAAAAGAGAACGATAATTTCACATAAAACAGTACAAATTTACAGGAGTTCTTGATATTAACCATGATTAATAAGCGAAAATACTTTTGATTCACTCTTGAACAAAAGTGGTTATAGTTGTAAATAATATTTTGATCGATTATGAAAACATAAAATGATGGATTGTAATCACAATAAAACGCTGGTGAGAAAATGGCTTGCAGATCACATGATAGTACAGAGGCATCAAAAGGAAAGAATCAAAGAAAGAAAGAAAGAAAGAAAGAAAGAAAGAAAAAAAGAAAGAAAGAAAGAAAGAAAGAAAGAAAAAAAGAAAGAAAGAAGAAAGAGAACAAGATATGGAATCGACTTGTTTTCTGGCCTTCCGCCAAATTTGAGTAGCTCGACCTTCGAGGCATTTTCATGCACTGCGAACCGCCATGAACCAATCAACCATTTCATGACAACAACCAAACACTCCTCACCACCTCTTACACCAAAGCATGCAACAATTTCCCTTTTCTTGGAGGAAAGTGTGGGACTACTCCACTTCGTGATTTCTCTCCTTCCATATCACTTCGTTTCTTGCTTGTTTGAAGGCCGGCCCGTTTCTTAAAACGCCAAAATTAATATCCAAATATTTCTAAGATACTTGACGACATATCAAGCCAGGAATTTCAAATCACTAAGACAAGTTATTGCGTAACACAACAAGCGTAGGAATTGGTAGAATGTGGAAAGCATGGGTTTTAGTGAAAGAGTCGAGATTCCGAGCCTTTCATCGGCGAGGCAAAATGACATTTAAGACTGATACTTTACTCTGGTGTAAACACCATATAGCGGGTCTTTGCCAAGGTTGACAAGAGCTGTAACGATGCTTGCTATAGCGGTAAGGTATTTTGCCTGTCCAAATGCTTACGCACACTCGCCTCTCAGTCAACTACTGCAACAGGGCAAATATATTTGGTCAAGGTAACTGGAAATACGACTACGTACAGGGAATATGCATTCATGCCTTTATACGGATTTATTAATCGCACGCCCAACTAGTCTTGAACCTTTCTCAATAAAATTAATGAAATTTCATGAGTTGAACGAACAAAATACCTACTGAACAACTTTTGTGCACTTTGTTACATAAGACATGCCTTATTGTACTCTCTAATACAAGACATGCCTTATTGTACTCTCTAATACAAGGCATGCCTTATTGTATTCTCTAATACAAGACATGCCTTATTGTACTTTTTAATACAAGACATGCCTTATTGTACTTGTATTTGTTTTTGTAAAATTCTTTGTAACAGAATGTTAAAAGTACGCAAGATAATACGATGGTTTCTACTGCAAATGAAAGCCGCAGGTTTGAATCCTGCTGTAGAACACAAACATTTCTCGAATACGCAGGCCGATAGACGAAATAAATACTGTGTAAAATAAACGTGACGTGAACTTAAATACGGGTATCCACTTCCATTTAAAGTAACAAAAATATGTCAAATTAAATACTAAAATCCCTTATTTCTTTTATATATATATATATATATATATATATATATATATATATATATATATATATATATAGTTAGTTTATGAAAAATTAGGTAATCCGTATGGCTAAACCCAAGGAGGATAAAATCCAGAGAGCCCAGTGTAAATTCAGAGCAAATAATTTAAATCAAAAATGTGTAAATTTCTTTTCAAATAAAAAAATAAAAAATGTGTAAATTTTTTTCATTTTTTTTGTTTCAACCTTTAGAAGTAAAGTCTGATGATCCGCAGTCCCTTAAAGGGCTGTGGTGAAATAATGTATTACATGAAACCTTTAAGTGGTCTGTTTTTATTTAAATTATATATATATATATATATATATATATATATAGATAGATAGATAGATAGATAGATAATATATTTTCTGTTTATACGTTATTTTATATGTGGTACTAATGTAGCATGATCTCGTAAGGAATCACTATTATCATCCCACTCCCAATAATTTTCATAGAAAAGTAAGTGTAAAACAACCCACAATAGGGTTGTGTGTGCTTTGCAGAGATATTAATACTACTACTACACAAACACACACACACACACACACACACACACACACACACACATATATATATATATATATATATATATATATATATATACAAATATAAAAGAACGAAAGGAATATAAATTCAAGCATTCATAACATTAATCTAAAAATGGTCTAACTACAAGAGTAGAGCAATAGATATTTATTATAAACTGTTACATTGTTATTTAAAAATACAACTTATGAAACATCACTTCTTTTTATATTTTTGAAAATTTTCCGTAGAACGCAAAGAAACAAATCTATAAAAAATGTCTAAAAAAAGGAAAAGAAAGAAAAAACAGATTAAAATAAAAAAAGAGAAGAGAATAAGAAATCAATAAAGTGGATAGAATGAGGAATGAAAAGAAAGGCATAAGAAAACAAGAAAGCAACCCTAACCCTACTACGGAGCGAAGGAAAAGAAAAGAAAAAGATTGGAAGAAGTATATCCAAATTTTACAGATATAAAGGAAAGGAAAGAGAAGAAAACAACACATAAGAAGTTGTTGATACAAATTTAGCCAATGAAGACACGTTAAGTTGGAGAATTCAAAATTAAATGGAAATATGATAGAACATATTTTAGATACATTTTAGCATTTCAAACTTTATGGCATTTTGAATGAAATCACAAATTTAAACAAAATTAAACATAGTACGTAAATAAAAGACACTTTAAGAAGAAAAAACAAACTATAATCAAACAACATCACCTGAGTGTTGACTTCAATATTCACTTTTATATTTATATTTACATACGCTCTATCTCTGGTATTGACCACTTTATCCCATAAATATAGCACACATTAAAAATATATTTCTTTATATATAAATATATATATATATATATTATAGACTGTTACATTGGAACATGCAAGTTACCACGACATAAATTGCATATTTGTTTCAATGCCTAATTTAGACATCTCATCAGGTTGTTAACATTGGTGGTAAGAAATGATTTTATTTAAAAACACAACTTATGAAACATCACTTCTTTTTAGATATTTGAAAATTTTCCATTGAAGGCAAAGAAACAAATCTATAAAAAATTTCATAAAAAGAAAAAAAAGTAAAATGCAGATTAAAGTAACAAACAAAAAAAGAGAGAGAGAAAGAATAAGAGATCAATAAAAGGAATAGAAAGAGGGAAAAAAGGCATAAGAAAGCATAAGAAATTAACCCTAGTACAGAGAGAAGGAAAATAAAAGAAAAGGGAAAACGAAGGGGAAGGGGTATATCCAAATTTTACAGATACAAAGGAAAAGGTAAGAGAAGTAAACAAGACATAAGAAGTTGTTGATACCAGTTTAGCCAATGAAGACACGTTATGATGGAGAGTATCAAAATTAAATGGAAATATAACACGACAAGACAGAACATATTTTAGATACATTGTAGAATTTCAAACTTTATGGCATCTTCAATGAAATCAAAAATTTAAACAAAATTAAACATAGTACGTAAATAAAAGACATTTTAAGACTCTTTTCTTCTGGGTTTTTTCTTTCCTCTTTCTATTGCTTTTACTGATTTCTAATTCTCTTCCTTTTTTACCTAAATCTGCTTTCTTTCTTTCTTTTTCATTTATGGAAATGTTTTTATATATTTGCTTTTTGTCTTCTATGGAAAAGTTTCAAATATGTGTAATATGAGGTAATGCTTAGCAAGCTTGTCTCGCTAGCACAATCAGACTGACTAGAGAGTTCGATCCTCACTGGATACCTCATAATTTCGGCCTTGTGCCACATCTAAGCTACGCTTGGAAAATCTCTATATGGCTACCTCGAGGTGGTGTAATGGTTAGCAAGCTTGTCTCGCTAGCATAATCAGACTGACTAGTGAGGTCGATCCTCACTGAGTGTCCCAAACATTCGGCCTTGTACCACATCTAAGTTACATTTGGAAAATCTCTGTAACTATTCTAGAAGAACATTAAAAACATCATGATTTTTTAATTCTGAATGAACTTGTGGGATACATAGTATTTCTACTTCTCTCCTCATTAACATCTCTGCATGTGTTCTTATGTCACGATATCTATTTAAATATCTGTATAAATGTTCAAATGCACAAAGCGAAAGTTATGTTTCTATCTATCTATCTATCTATCTATCTATCTATCTATCTATAAAATTCCGTGACTTCCGTTACTTCGTCCGTCCGCCCGTTACTGTGTCTAAAGTAACCATAAACCCTTGTGTAAATTAATTGAAACAACTGCTTTACATTACTTTCTTTCGTCGTATGGTCTGTTTTGGACCCACTGGAGTGACGGGATGTATTTGATTTTGATTTTTTTCCCTCAGATTATGTCATTTGCAGTGGTGTGCACTAATGAATCTATTTACGAGGTGTATGATGAAATTTCTTTGGCCGTGAAAAATATTGCGTCATCAGTAATTGAATCAGATTATCATCACTCCCAGACGCTATTGTCTCCACTGTTGATTAGTTGTCCTACGGCCATTGTCTGCGATGGACTTTACTCCAAGGAAGCGTAAGAAAATTGTAACGCTGCACGAACACACTAGCAAGCCTTACCAGTGAGCAAATCAAAGTATTATAGACTGGCGCAGAAACCCACCTGATTTGAATACAATCGAGAATCTGTGGTCAGTCTGCAAGGAACGATTTCGTGGAATGAACATACGAAGTACTAACATGTGTATTGGATCATGTTTCACTGAAAATACTAACATTCACTAAATAATAACAGAATTGTTAGTTTTATTTCAATTAATTTGCATAAGGGTGTATATTGACCGATCGAAACCAAATTTTGGTTGTGAGGTGGTGGGTACAAAGTAGGATGCGTAAAAGCCGCGATGTAGCGTTTTTGTTAAAGTATTTTTGCAAAAAAATCAGCTTATTCAAATTCCATTGATTGGTATGCGAAATTGAACGAAACGTAGTTGGTAAATCTCGAGGAAAAATGTTAGCGATGACTTCAACGATACTAAATACAGTAAGGATTTTAACACGGTAACGCGTGTTGCAAAAAATGTCCAGTAAACTATAATCACGCATTTAATATAACCATGACTCGCTACAAATCTACTGCTTTTTGATTTTCAACCAATAATCATCAAATGTTGGCTGGAACCAATGAAAAATCGAACGGATTTTTTGCCGAACTATACAAATACTAGTCACGTATACAGGTCTCTTGTAAAACGAAAAGAAATAAAAAGTAAGTCAACGCCACGCCCTCTTGTCAAAGATGATTTCACTCTCTACTTGATAAAACCATAAAAATGGACTCATATCATCACACGCTATTTTCCATAATACTGACATTTTTCAAGTTTTTTTTTCCTACCTTTTGTCTCTTTCTTGTGGACAAGGGCGTATAATTAGCTAAGAGGAAAGGACACGAGCATTAACAAATCTAACTTATACATGATTTGAATAAAACAACAAGCGACAATTGTGAATGTGTATTACTTGATATTAACGACAGTTTCTAATGAAAGCTTTACGTTGTTTGCAGTCAGACAAATATTCTTATCTTTGTTATTACCCCAACGTTTCTACAGAAATGCGTTCCGGATATCTGTCGATCCGATTCATCTTCAAGGAATTTCAAATTGAAACTTTTATTTAGTCTACGCAGGTATATACTGTTTGTTCCATTGTCAAAGGATAAATCGTTTTGCGCTGCTATGTGGTTGATATTATGCCTATTTCTTTTGTAATAATCCTTTCTATTTTTCTAATCAGCTCCTTGATGTTAAGTTGAAATTCATTATTGGATTATTATACGAATAAATAGACATAATATGCTTATATTATTTAATAAAAAATGATTGAATGAATATATGCTGCATATATATATATATATATATATATATATATATATGGCTTGACATGTATCGGTTTTCACCCTGGTCGGGTTGAACCGGCTTCCTCCCGAGCAAGTACAGCATCAGGGACCATCGCTGCCCACGTTCGCCGATCCTGAGCCAGGTCACACGAAATGTCGAGCCAATCGCGATTCTATCGTCGAAGACCAACTACTTGTGGATCCGATAATACTGCTAGGTCATCCTTGATTGTGCAAGCCCACGTCCTCAGCTGCCCACCGACACGTTTTTGCTAGCCAGGAAGAGAAGGAGGGAGAAGTACATCGCGGATGATCTTTCCCTCCGAGCGTCGAGCTGCGTACCCTAACAATCGGAGACGACGCTGGAGCAGGACGGGTGGAAGAGGGCGGAGGTCAGGCGACGACGTAGAGTGGCCGTGGACACACGATCGATTCGATGGCATCGTAGAATGCAGCGAAAACAATCGTTGTCGAACACTTCAAGCATTCGTAGGCCAAACGTTTCGCAGCCATAGAGAAGGATAGTCCGAACAATAGCCTGATAGATTCGCCCCTTCGTAGCCGGGGATTTTCTCCCGTCGCCCCCATAGTGACCGCTTCAGATGCACGAATGCAGACCTTGCAGCTCCTATACGGCGTTCAACCCCAGCAGCAGCCTGCCCGGATGGTATAATGGTTGAACCGATATAGACGAAAGACTGCATATCCTACAGATTGACCGCGTCCAGCATCAGTGGCTGCCAGTTGGCTGGATCAACCAGGGACAGCATAACTTTAGTCTTCAAGGCATTGATGGTCATACCCACATCCCGTGCTGCAACTTGCACACGGTTGAGCGCAGCTTGCACATCGTCACAATTGATCCAACCAAGGCAATGGCCAGATCAGACACCCTGACATTCCGACCAACCGCATATATATATATATATATATATATATATATATATATATATATATGTGTGTGTGTGTGTGTGTGTGTGTGTGTGTGTATATGGTTGGTGTATACGGAATAAATTCCAATAACCAACAATTACTATTCTTAAAAGAGTGCTCAATACAGAGTAGATGAAATATAATTATTTATTTAAAAATTATAACATAAATATGTTTTAAAATCACTACAAAGATAGCAATTTTGTTTCAACACCTCCGGTGTCTTTTCAAGTGATGATGTTGAATGTAGATTGTAGAATATAGTTTTAAAAGGTACAAATTAATTAACCACACCTCGTAAGGGGAAATACTGTCACATGAGCTGAAATGACCAATTAAAATACAAGTATACGAGAATTAAAAAAAACTTGACAACGAAGTAAGGTTATAATAACTATCAAATGCTTTAATTCTGAAATAGAATTTATTCTAACTAATAAGTATTAAATTGTACGATAAAATTTGAAATTATAATTAAAAACTACCCATTTCAAAAAAATTTAAAAACTTTATTAAAACTATATTCTACAATCTAAATTCAACATCATCACATGATAAGACACCAAAGGTGTTGAAACAAAATGGTTAATTTTGTAGTGATTTTATAACATATTTATGTTATAATTTTTAAACAAATAATTATATATATATTAAAAAAACGGAAAACAGGCAACAAGTAACCGTTGGTAAAGTAGAAAATTTTAATAAAAACAAAACCGTACAACAGTCACAACCAATATTTGCAATTTCTGCCAACAGGAAAAATTAACGATTATGTTATTTCCTTATCCAAAAATACCTTTAAAACAAAAATTTTCATCAGTGTATATGAGGCTGGATAAAAAAAAGTATTTAACCCCCATCAATACATTTACAATGCACTTGCATTTCTGCTCCTCCTTCTCCTTCTTCTTCTTCTGCTCCTCCTGCTCCTCCTCCTTCTTCTTCTGCTCCTCCTACTCCTTCTTCTTCTGCTCCTCCTACTCCTTCTTCTTCTGCTCCTCCTGCTTCTTCTTCTCCTTCTTCTTCTTCTGCTCCTCCTGCTTCTTCTTCTTCTTCTTCTTCTTCTTCTTCTTCTTCTTCTTCTTCTTCACATTCTGGAGGGGGAAACAGTACAAACTTACATTTTAAATGAGCATACTGCTAAAAGCAAAATAGTGACGAGCAATACACGGGCCCCGCAACAGAGCAAATATATGGTAATGGACGCGAGGCTGTAGAGCTGAAGTGCTATATCAGACAATATCTGACAACGAAGAAGACATTCTGCAGGCTGTTGGAGGATTTGCAGACATGTGTTCATATGAAAGTTGTCCTTGTTTTGGTGTGAGGAAACCACCCCAAAGTTTATAAAAGTATTTTGATACACCTATATATATATATATATATATATATATATATATATATATATATATATATATATATATATATGTGAAAAGTGAATATAAATATAAATAAATATATATATATGTATAATTATTTATATATTATATATGGTACTTATTAGAAAGCGCTCAATATCAGAGATAGAGCTAACATATTTGGTTGATTGATGTGAGTTTGTGACCCTGGGTTTGTCTGACGATCGCTAAAGCGTGAAACCCAGGGTCACAAACTCACATCTATCCAACCAAATATATATATATATATATATAATTCCAATAACCAAAAATGCTATTTTAAAAGAATACAGAATAGATCAAATATTATATATACATATATGTGTATATATATATATATATTGATGGTGATGGAAAAGTAACTGAAACCAATTTATCAGGTCAGTCTCTTTAAGGTGACCAACTAATGCGTTTAATGTGTTGTTTTGTAAAATATTACTTTTTTGTTTGTATATATCATTTATTTAAATTTCTTGAGGTTTCTCTGATATATTCTTTGTGTCTATCGTTACAAGTAATATAGGGTAAATTCCTCTTTCCAGTTTTTCTTTAATGTTTTGTTTTGTATTATATCTTTTATTGTTTATTTTTGTAATTATGAGAAATGTTCTCTTAATATCTTGCTCACTTTTTGAAAAGCATATTTGACGATGATTCTTCTAATATCTGCGTCGTATCTTTTAGCTGTATAAGACGAAAAAACACATTCTGATCGCCATCCTGATTTGCCAATATATGTACTTATATATCATTTCCTTGTCCATCAAGATTCCCTATAAATTTTCAAGATAATATCAGTAATTTCTACTTTAGTTCATTTAAACAGTTATTTAAATTTTATGTAATTAGATATCTAGATATATGTTTTT